GTAAAATCTACAATATGTACTTTAGGTACGACACGGACTTAAGGTTGAAAGTGTCCTGTTGATAATTTTTAAAAAAAAACATTGCCAAATTAAAAGTGTTTCACAAAAGAAAGTCTTTACTCACCATTTTTGATGTTCATTCACTTAATTCAAATAGTAATTTTTAGAAATTTTGTCGAAAATGAGAACAACAATGCCGAGAAATAATATGTTATAATTTTATTGTTGTCCGAGAATAGTTAAATGCGCATGATTTAAACACATTAATACTGTAATTGGAAACACAAAGATATAATTGCATTTTATTCCTGTTTTCTCGTGTCGTTGTCTTTGGCTGATTTCAGGTATTTTAGCCGTCACATTCATATTGTTCGTCATATTTTCAAATGTATAATAAAAAGTACTTTTGAAATTATATTTTATGCAATTTGGCATTTTACTCTCTTCGAGTATCCAACGAGTTTTGGTTTTACATTTTCGGATTCTTGCAGAAGTTTACTTTGGTGTTTTCCCACGAAGGATTTTTTTCTAAATTAATTTATGTACGCAATATTTTAAAAATGAAAAAATAACAAATTATTTTATATGAAATCATTTTTATGATTTAATTAAAATCAATAAAATCAAAAAGACAAAAATTTTATTTAAATTTTTTTTGCCGATTACAACGAAATGAAATTAAAAGAATTTAACAAAAATAATTGTAAACCAAAAAGTATTTAAATGCTTTCAATATTAAAGAAAATATTACTCAATGATAGATACTTTTCATCTGTTCTTGCAGAAAAACTTGACACAAGACGCATTTCAATTTATGTCGATCGATCTTTATTTCTGGGAACAGATTGAAAGTTGTCTATTGTTCCAGCAATGTTTCTGTTTAGATATAAAGATATTATTTTATTCTATTCGTTTATTTTTATCGTTTAACTCTTGTTAGAGACAATACAATGATTTTGATCCCAGACATTTTTCAGTCGTATCAAATGGAAATACTTAATTTATCCGGTTCGGAGGCTTATATGCTTTATTTTCGCTATCACGATATACGCAGTAATAAACGGAGACTTGCATTAATTTAAATTTTTAGGACATTTTACGGATTTCATACGTCTGATATGATACAGACAAAAGTCAGACTATTGATCACTTAATTTTTAAATGTACATTTGATTATAACCCAGAATATCTTGTATTTGAAGTTAAAGCCATTTACAAAAAATAAAATATTTTCCAGTCTTTTCTTTATCCTTTTACACAACCATAGACTTAACAGTTAAATCAGCGTGAAGAAAAAACTTCATTAAAATGACAAATAATAATCTATATATATAAAAATGAATGTATGTCTGTCTGTGTGTCTGTGTGTCTGTGTGTCCTATGTCCTTCATGCATTACCACACCGTTTATCCGATTGCCATGAAACTTTGGGAAGTTGTTTAATATACTCCGGCGAAGGTTTGTGGCATAGTACGATTGCCATGAAACTTCGGGAAGTTTTTTAATACACTCCCGCGAAGTACATTTATCCTACGATAGATGGCGCGCGTTTACACGAGCATTCGCGCATAGTGTGTTTGATCGATTTCAAATTGTGAAGACCATTTCCCCCCTTCAAAAATATATATGTCTCTATATATGCATTTGTGAACTGTTATTTACGATATTTGTAATCATTTTTGTTTAATCACTTTATTTCGACTTTTTTTGCTAATTATGTTTTCGCTCGAACTTCGTTAAAATCTTAACTGTACCCCGAACAACGACCGAAGTTGTAGGAAGAAATTCGCCTATTTTACCGATCTAGGTATCGCCCTTTTTCAAATTTTAATATCGACTCGAAATAATTTAAAAAGACAAATTACAATAAAACGGTTTATTATCTAACTATCAGAAATTTCCCAACATGCCAAGGAAGAGAGGAAGGAGCAATTAAATAATTAAAATTATAAAGGATTTAAAAATATATATATAAATGGGGAATATCGCGCTTTTGACAATCGCTGCAAGTGTGTGGGCTAAATTTGGAGAATCCGTGCTTCTCGCATGGACAACTGTATGTGGCCAGCTCACGCGTCGGAAAACCTTCCGAATTATTCGTGTACGCACCAGACGAAAAAACAAAAAATATCGTGTATCCACGAGCACTCCAATAAATAAATAGAATTGAAACGACACTTTGAAATGTTTTCCCGATGAAAACGAATAATAATAATATATTTCAATAAAAATGATAAAATGAAAATTTAATTTTATTATAACGAGTTTGCTTGAATTTCATCTCTTCTGAGATCGCAGCAATGCGCGACAGGTAAGCTAGTAGGTAATAAAAATTCACACAAATGTAACCTTTGTTTTAGTCTCTTTAATCTGGATTCTCACAATTATTTTCAGAAATTTTATACCCACAAATTGTGAAAAAATAATTAGACATTATTGAATTTTAAATATTAGATGGCGCCACTTTCTTTTTTAAATTGACAGTTAGGATGAACGAAGTTCAACAATACACTTGCTGGATTTCGGTTAGAGAAATGGCAAAGTACAGTATATTCTTATTATAAGTACTGAATAGATTCAAATTGTTTTCCGATGAGCTATAATGTAATTACCTTAATCTTCACTATTGTTACTTTTTGCCCAGCGAAGCGGGTCCATGCAGATAAATTACTTAAAAAAAACAGTTTTTTATATATATATAAAACTATGTTACATACAAATGTACGAACAAATAAAAACCCAGAGAAGCGGTTTTTTGCAGCTAGTGTTCTATAGAAATGTGAAACCTGCGAGTGATCTTTTTGTTAAAAAGTACTATTAAAAATAATAGTGTTTTACTGACTTAACACTGTTGTTATTAAACATTTTTAAGGTAATCGCTCAGCACTAGCGATGAGTTGCATAAATAATCTAGGTACTCTAGTGGCACTATATTACATTCCGAAATATTTATTTGTAGTGAAGTTTTAATACGATATTATTCCTGATAAACTGTATTAAAGTAAAACGGCATTGGAAATTTGACGGTTAATTTTATGATAAAAATATTTACAAAAATGAAAATTTCTTTCAATTAAATTACAGACGGCGCCACTGTTTTTCTTCCAGTTTGGAAAATGTTCCGTTACAACGGAATCGCTAAAAGACGTTTGAACTGACGACTAGAAAGAAGACGAAATAGATTTTGTGTTGTTTATTTATTTTGNGTAAAACGGCATTGAAAATTTGACGGTTAATTTTATGATAAAAATATTTACAAAAATGAAAATTTCTTTCAATTGAATTACAGACGGCGCCACTGAATTTCTTCCAGTTTGGAAAATGTTCCGTTACAACGGAATCGCTAAAAGACGTTTGAGCTGACGACGAGAAAGAAGACGAAATAGATTTTGTGTTGTTTATTTATTTTGGAGTAGGCCAATTCTTTCGAGGAGAAACGGAAGAAAACTTCTCGGCCTTTCGTCTTTTTTAAGTAGAAGAACATTTTACTGGGTAAGTTAAAAAGTTTACTCTTTTCGAAAAATTATAGAAATATTGCGTCACATGCGGGTATTAAACCGAATGTAATTTCGCTTACGAATATTATTGCTGAATTTCGAAGAGATCGTCCCTCCCGTTTGAGAATGGAAAAGAATGAATCGAATAATTCCGTAATTAAAAACCATTAAAATGGACAACGGATTCAAATGTGGATTGTCCTCGGATTGTTCACATTTTACCACCGTTTTTGATGGTGCGTGAATATTTGAGTTGAAAATAATTATTTATAATAGTTTCGAGATAATTCATTTTTTAACATTAACAGATGAAAGACAAATGAAAGATTATTTCTAGAAATTTTAGATCCACAAATTCTGAAAAATAGATATTATTAAATTTCAAATATTAGATGGCGCCACTTTTTTTTTTAAATTGACAGTTAGGTTGAACGATGTCCAGCAATGCACTTGCTGGATTTCTTGTAGATTTCGGTTAGGGAAAGGGTAAAATATGTTTTTATGAAAAGTACTGAATAGATTCAAATTGTTTTCCTATGAGCTAAATCTTTTACGGACAAATCGAAGAAGACGTCTCATATGAGTGTTTAATTGGTGTTCGTTTTTAAGCCATCGTCTTGGGATCGGTTCTTACCACATCACTACAAATAAGAAGAGGAAATAAATAGTTGTAATGCACGAATCTTCGCTCGTTACTAGTGACGTATTTCTGTTTTGGTTACAGAAAAAGTCGACAGAAGTTTTATTTTACTCTGTTGATAACCCACGATTGTTTGGTAAGATTTACCCTCCGAATGAGGGGGTAGCCACCCCCCAAAGGGTAGACCTCCCCCGTACGAACAATAAATGTCTAATGAACCACGACCCTTTGCGAGATATAGCCCTCCGAAAATTGTTCTACGGGTCACGTGACCACATGTTAGCCACAATTTACCCTGCGAATGAGCGGATCGGCGACCCCCGAATTGAAGACCCCCTCCGTGCGAACGAAAAAGTCAAAGGAACCATACCCCTGCGCGCGACCCTTTACGAGATATAGCCCTGTAAAGAATCCCCTACGTCATTTCCAACGATCGGGATCGACGAGTCGCGTCGCTCTTTCTACTAAGCCTATCGACCGCTAAGCCTATCGACCTATTCTAACGTTATTGCAGTCTAATTATCGGAGTTAGGTCCTTTTCGCATGACCCCGCGCTCCTCCTCGACCTCGGGAGGGTCTAGGGCCCCTCATTCGCCGACACACTGGGTTTCGCTCGCCCGGTTGGCTACCGTATTATGCACCGTTAAGCCTATCGACCTATTCTAATGTTACTACAGTCTAATTATTGCCGAGTTAGGTCCTTTTCGCACGACCCCGCGCTCATCCTTGACCTCGGGGCCTAGGGCCCTCATTCGCCGACACGCTCGGGTTTCGATCGCGGTCGGCTAGTACTACGCGCTTCTTTCGCGGTTTGTCCAAAACACCTGACCTACCTCTTCGGAGGTGACTACTTAGGCTAATAGAAAACCGTTTTGAAACCAGATTGTACACTCACCTTCAACAGCGTCTCCTCCTGCATCTCCCGCCACGTCCTTTCGCTATCTGGCGACGCCTAGCCTATTCCCGATGTTGCGTGGGTGAGGACGGGGTGAGGCCGCTGGTCCCCGCCTCGGCTAGGTCCTGGGGGTCGATGACGAAGGTGTTGGTGGCGCCTGATGTTGTCTGAAAAATCACATAATCCAGGTTTCACATCCGCAAATAGGTATCCTTTGGTCACGCGCAATATACACAAGCTGCACTACTCACTGGGCGGTCGTCATCCCCCTGCCGTTCCTCTTCGTCGCCCTCGTGCACGGGAACATCGAAATAGGGCTCGTCCGGCGGCAGATGTTGATCCACGGGCACACCGATCGTCCGGAGTTGGAGACCCTGACGACCGGGGCCCGGGTAGACGGCCACGATGTCCCCGATGAACTGCCGGAATTTTGCCGATGTTGTTGGCAACTGGGACAGGACCCGCGTCCTGTACACGTACGTACAGTTGTAGCTCTGCAGGCTCCTGTCCGTGCGGAGCGACTTGATGGACTTCTTCAGCCAGCGATTTCTGCACTCGATGTTCTGAGTGTGGGCCTCGGGATCATCGGCGTCGACGAATCTGCTCGGAAAATAAAAGAAAAATGTCACTTTTCAATAACGCTTGTTCATTTCTTTCACATAACACATTGCAGTTTTATCTTCCTTACCTCCCGGGGCCCCGCTGGCTGTGATTAACGGTCTTATGTTCAGAGAAGCCCATCGTCGTACAACCGCGATATTGGGCCGCGCTGTCGGAAACAATGATGGAACCGGGGGCGATGTATCTGAGCATGTGGCTCCAGAGAACCCGTCGGCTCTTGTTGTCCACCTGAAAGAATACGAGAAACTATAACAAAACTTCCACAAAAACTAAAAAATAAAAGGAAATAATAATGCTTGGCTACTACTTACATGCCAGTACATGACCTCTTTTGTTTCCTGACAATAGGCACCGAAGATGGTAATTTGGGTGCCTTTAGTTACGCAGCCGCGGTTGTATTTTCGCCTCCGGGTGAAGGTCTCGTCGATCTGAAAATAAAACGTACGAATATAGAGACAGGCATTTTGGCAAAGTCAGAAACGTGGGGTCGATGGTCACCTCAACGTGCATCCCTTCACCCCCGAGCTGGATATCTTGTTGATGGGAGACGAAAACCTCCGCAACTTCACCCTGATTCTGCGATCACGTTGCGCGAGCGACTTCAAATGTCATACCTCTTGCGCTGACAGCTGTGTCCTTTCGAAAAAGGTGTTGTGGGTGCAAGACAGGGAACCAGTGCACATGGCCCTGAAGACGGTGCCGCCAGTCCGCCTCCTCATCTTCTTTTTCTGCTGTACTTTTTCACAGCGGTAGACGAATNGGTGCCGCCAGTCCGCCTCCTCATCTTCTTTTTCTGCTGTACTTTTTCACAGCGGTAGACGAATCCGAACCTGCCAGATGGAGCCGGTTCCTTCCGCATAGTCCCTAAAGATTATGACAAAAATATCGAAAAACTAGTAAATTGGAATATTGGCAGTTAAGGTTTACCAATACTGCTACTATTAACTCACGGGTCAAATATCGAAACAGGATAGCGGTTACTGTTATCCATGGTTTCAAAATGGCCGTACTTCCGACGGTTTGTGGTCCAGACGGATAAAAATGTAGCTAATGTAACGAAAACGAAACGAACCTAACCGAAGCGACACCATTTTCGAACCATTAGTAGCATTAACCTAGATAGCTGCAGATAGCACTCATGTAAACGCGGGAATCGAGAAAAGGCTTACCTCTGCACTTAGGACATGGCAGAAAGAAACCGGTTAGGTCCGGATGAGGCACAAGCACCACAAGATGGCAAAACTTCTGTGCAGCCTCTTCGGTGGGGAGATAGCGAAGAAAACTGTAAGATATTATATTATTGAATATTGTGGCGAGATCCATAACGGGAGACGCCGAAATATCACACGAATAAGGCATGTTCGTTTCTGTAACATATACAGTATTGGGTTCGAGGATATGAAGGCGAGTACAGCTTATATAATCGCGGAAAACGGTTACGAGTGTCACGTGACCGCGCGCCCCATTGGCCCGCGGAGCGCTGCATCTCTATGGCTGAGGAACGACCACGTGATTTGGCTGTCATGCGCAGTGCTGTCCTTGGGCTCGTTTGTCTCAAATATGAGTTCCGAAATGCTTCTGCTAAGGGGATGTGCTGGACTAGTGGACAAAGGCTTGGACTACAGTCAACATAGACCAGGGTTCGAGGCCCGGCCAAGGTAAGAATAATAAATAATAATGTATAGTTATATTTACAAGCAATAGGTGGCGACTATGGATGACTTCAGGCAGGTGACGTGGACTGCGGGCCGGCGCGGAAGGGACAGACGACCACAGCAAAGGCGGAGTGGAGAAGCGCGAGGACAGAGACACCTAAGGAAGGTGTTCGCGAGTGCGCGTTAAAATTTTTTATGCGCGGTAGACTGCCTCTTGACCACGATGTCACGTGACCGGATATGACGTAGGCGAAACTTCAGGGGCTTATATCTCGCGAAAGGTCGCGCGTAGGGGGTGGTTCATTAGACATTTATTGTTCGTACAGGGGAGGTCTACCCTTTGGGGGTGGCTACCCCCTTATTCGGAGGGTAAATCTTACCGCTGGTCCCCGCCTCGGCTAGTTCCTGAGGGTCGATGACGAAGGTGTTGCTGGCACCTGATGTTGTCTGAAAAATCACATAATCCAAATTTCACATCCGCAAATAGGTATCCTTTGGTCACGCGCACTATGAATGCAAGCATTTGGAATTCTCGTCCACACAAGCAGGTTAGTCCTTTCGTCCAACCTTTGACTGTTGTCATTATATTTCGACAATCGATAATCTGGGTGTAGATTATTTTAAATTTAACATAATTAACAGTCTTGATTAAAGGAGAAAATCTCGTTGACGATTTCACCAGAAAGAAAAAAAACAGAAGGAAGATTTTAACGAAGCGGAAGAGGAGACTT